AGTACAATTTCATTAAACAATAAACAAGAGCAGTTTATTGACTAGCTAGATTTTGTATTGATCAATTGATGCCTTTTTCAAAGCTTCAATTGCGCTTTATTTATAATAAATATTTTCCACTAATGAATATTATATTTATGATTAATTATACAAGTTGATAAATAATAGATACTATTTAAATGATGATAATTATTGTAAATATTTTAATTATTACAATTATGAAAGTTATAAAAATTATGAAAATTATAGAAATTATGAAAATTATAGAAATTATAGAAATTATATAAATTTCCAGTCGTAACAACGAGAACACTATTTTAATTTTTTTGTTAAATTAATTTTTATTAACTATTATCTATTTTATAAAATTTTGATTCAAAAATATTAATAATCATAAAAGTATTATAATTTTTCCAATTTATATAATGTTTAAGTATACTTAAAATTATATATATTTTCATATTCTTATATTTGATAATTCCAGCATTAATATTATATTTTTTTTTACTAATACAATTATTCAATTAATTACTAATTAACAATTAGTAATTTGTTTGATCAATTACTATAAAAAAAAGATAAAATTAATTATATACTTGAAATTATTATTTTTTTATAAAAATCAATTTATTATTATTAAAAAACTCAGAAACAAAGTTAAAAGATCTTGCTTATAAATTTTATATAAAAATTAGTATCAATCTTCTGTTAAAATATATCAATTTATCAAATTCCAAAGCAAAAAATATTTTAAATATAAATACTTAATAGTATAAAATATTTTTTTACTTAATAAATTATCAAACAAATAATCCAGTTTCAATAAAATTTCATTTACTACAATTATTCATTTAGTAATTCTTTGTGAGCAAATTTTAACAATATATTTATTATTAACTTCATTAAAATACTAATTTATAATTATTACACTGATCTTAACATCTTGTTTTTCATATTTTATTGTAATTTAATACTTGTTATACTATATTCTATTTCTATCATCTTTTTTATTTGTTACTTCATATTTGTGATATGTAACCAATCCAATCTTTTCATATTACTTAGATCTCAGTTTTCATGATATTTTTGGATTCAATAAATGATTAGCTATTTTTTCAAACTCTATTTTAGTTCAGCAGAATATTCACATAAAAAGACAATTTCATATTATTTTTTGAGAAAAAACTCCATTTTTTAACATAAAATTTAATGATTAATTTCAGCTTTAAACTCTAGTGCTTGTGCTTATATCGATATTACTTATCCTGGCAGAAAATTTCTAGATCCCGTGACGTCCGATTCGGTTCCGGATCTACCGAATTAATCGATCACAAATGATGAACCGACAGTTTGTAACATGTAATTGAGGGAAGAAAATGAATTTCTCTCGCATGCAAGATTCTTCGATCGTCGATAGCTGTCTTATTTTTCGCCAAACTATTACGTATTTCCAAAAAAAACTCGATTTTTTGTATCAGAGAAATTAGTATTATTTTGTTGATAAAATAAATGAAGACGAAGATGTTGAAAGCACATTTATTTTTTCCATTTCTTTAACGTAAATTGTGTTAATTTTACATTTACCGTAACCTTTATGCTACATGTATATCGATAGTATTAGTGTGGGACTTTTGTATTTATCGTTGTCATCTTTTAGTTAAGCTGATATTATCGTTATACGTATCTACTATACATTATATTGTAATATATCGATATAGCTCAATACTCGGATATATGACCATTCAATTCGCCTAAACAAATCTAGTCAAGACGAATTGAATGATGATATTTTCACTCAAATACGTAGTCACTATAAAATCTACCGCTACTTGAGCACTGTGGCTATGTGATCGACCAGCTATGAAACTATCCTAAACAAAAACGTTACTTGAGAAATTTTGCTTTAAATATATTCTTTGGCAAATAACCTTAACCTTAACCGAAATTTTAATTAATTAACTAGTCAATAACATAGTCACAGTCTCGTTTTTTCCAAAGCGCATGATAAACGCCACAAAAATTCTAAAACGGTTTTCTTTTACGTTTTACATTTTTCTTTTTATGTATTAATAATAATTCGATTTTTATCGATAATTTTTTTAATTTATAGTCCATTTTCAATGGAGTCGCTCCAAGATACTCTAAAAGCGTATTAAAACTTATTTAAGCGAGAAACATCCGGAATAGAAGAACGTTTAGAAAAAGTTGATAATGATACTTCATCTCGCCGTCTCGTCGAATGGAAGATGACAGACATTAGTGATAATGAATATACCAATCAATCCCATTTGGGGAAGCCAGGTAAGTTAAAAATATATCGTTTTTAATATATGATTCTATTTTTCTAAACTGCTCGTAGTGAATCAAAACAAGCCGGTTCGTATTTGTTGATTCCCCTTATCGCCAAAACTTCGATAATAAATACATGACACCATCTATTCAGAAATTGCTTGAGGATATCAAATACATCAACACACAATTAATCATATACACATACAATTTCACTAATAATCCCATAAAAGAACGAATCGAGCTAGTAGACGTTATAATTTCAATTCGAGTTGGATTATCAATTCTTTGGGACTGCGAGACTGTAACTCGAGCGTTAATCCACAAATAAAGCAAAGCCAAAAGTAGAACACGCGCGTAATTAAGATTTAAATACAATTGATCATGGGTAATAGATTGATCACCGTAAACGAATCCTGCTATATACACAAAATTTTCTTATGTATACGATCAAAAATGGACAGTTTGTTGATATCGTTCTCATGGATTTGCTATATGCTGTTGATACTATTTCTTTGCTGACAACTTTACAGCTTGATGAGAACCCTTCAAGGCAGTGTTGTACATTTAACAGATCTCAATAATATTCTTGCTTTAAGAATAATTTGGATTCCATGGAATTCTGGCGTCTAATTCTAATACGCAGGCAAAAGATGGGCGGGCAAAAGAAGCAAACAGATACCTTGAAGAATGCGGTGAGTAGGTTTATTTTCAAAGAATAGACTTATTTGTTTGTTCTGATGTTTATTTCATTAGCACGATGCAAAGGTTTACGCATGAAGTCATTAAAAAAGAGCGAGGAAGAATTGTTAACGATCTCGTCAGTATCCTGTGTCATTATCTTGTGATCAGATTTATGCTAATGTTACAACTTCCATGCTATCATAGCCGAATGCACATTAACGAATCACGTTTTGTAGATCGTTCATGTGTATCCGAGGTTGACATTCCATTTGTCGAATATTATGGATTGTTTGAATAGTAAATGATTGGTACGTATAATTATAATGACAATTACTAAACTCTTTATATGTAATCAATCTAGAACGCGACATCTTGAATTGGCAATTTGATGCATTAAGGATCCTTTACTTAGTTAATATTCGATCGGCAGTAGAATAAGTCGTTTTTCCTTTAACATGCGGTAGAATATAGAATTTTAAATCTGAGAGGTAGCGTGTTGATAGGATTTTTCTTTTTATTATACAACATAATCGAACAATTTTTGAGAACGCGAGAAATAAAATTACGGGTATAAGTTGACCAATAGCAGTTCGAAGAGAATTTATTTCGCGTTACCTTGTTAACTATAATCACTATTATTGTCCACCACCACCACTGCCGCCACCACGGCCTTGACCTTGTTGAGATCCACCAGGTGGAGGACGCATTTGTGGGGGTGGTCGGAATCCTTGTGGGGGTGCTTGACCAGGTACTGGATAACTAGATAATAAAAACAATCAATAATAAAGTTTTAAATAGAATTGAAAATAACCAATATATGAATTTGCTAACTTACGCTTGAGGAGGACCGCCTCGTCCAACTTGAGGAGGATATTGCGGAGGAGCACCAGGCTAAATAAATAAATCTCTGATTTAATAAATTACAACTTTTTTGAAAAATCAATGAATTTTCGCGTACCATTCCCATCGGTGGTCTCATTCCCGGAGGTGGAGCAGCACCTTGAGGTCGATAACCCGGCGGAAGCCCAACACCACCTGGCATACCCGGCGGTGGACCCATACCTGGTCTATACGCCATTGGTGGAGGACCACCCGGCATACCGGGTCTTGCCATACCTGGACCCATGCCTGGTGGAATTTGTCCTTGAATCGGTGGACGACCATATGATATTGGTGCAGCAGATGCTGATGGTGCAGCTGGACCTCTTGGTTGCATCATTCCTGGTGCTGGACCACCAACTCCACGAACGGGTCCCGTAAGTCCTTTTCATTACGAAAATCGAATTAATTATAATTGAATAAATAAGTAATAATGCAACCACAAATTTCATTATACCTGCAGGTGCTATACCCGGTGGTGCAACAGGTAATCCTCGACCAGCTGGTCGTCCTATACCAGGACCACCTGGAAGCTACTCAACAACAGAATAACGTTAACAATAAATTAGAAAAATATATTAATCCTTCAATAAAAAAGCAAGTACATAAACAGCTGCAAAAATATCAAAGTGAAAAGTGCTCCATTGATTAGAAATCCAACCTGTGCTAATTTAGCTTTAGAGTCATCAGTAGTTGGCGGTGGCGGTCCTTCTACACTCAAACTAACAATAGTTTCTCCGCGCAATATCACCAATCCCAACGTTCGTTTCTCTTCTTGTTCCGGTTGCCCCTGAGGCACTTTAGCTCCGCTTTTCGGTTTGATCTTGCGAAACTCTTCGCAGTCAGCTAACACGAGGTTCATGTGTTTATCGAACGCCAGCATTTGTCCGGTTAGAACACGTGAATCTGCTAGTGTGATGCGGAGCCGATAGTTTATCAGGTTTAACATTTTGGAGTTCTTTGATATCGACTGTAGGGATCGATGTAGGTAAATAGATATGGAAGTATGAGAAATTTTTTTGATCAAGTATTGGTTGCATTCTCGCGTTACAAATCAGACTGCGGTGGTTTATGGCAATTCATTTACTTAATTATCAACCGCAAGTGATTTGATATGTAGCGCCTCTGCCTTAAAAATAAGACAAGTCAAAAACTTACCATTTTGAGAAATTATATATTTTCACTGCCTTAAAAGGTAAAAGAAAAAAGGTTCGAAGGACCAGCTACACAAGGCATAAAGCAAAATCTTCTCGAAAAATTCTCAGCGCGTAAAGAATGCGTAAGTTAATGGATGAGTTCTCCACCAAAAAAAATTTAACGAGTGTTTAGATCAACGTCTACTCTTGTCATAATAGGCATATCATGTGATGGTAGATAATCCATTAGCAAATTCTTTGCTTCTCGGAAAGTACGCGTTTCTTGTTAATCAATGGCTTCTCAATCGAAACAATATACTGCACTTTACAACTTTGAGACTACCGTTTTAAAGTCTCTGGATCCAGCTAAAAAGTTGGGTGGCATTGCTGGAGTTCCCAAGCTACTAGAAGAGTACCCGAACCAAAACTTCCGGCAGAGTTTGTTCACAAAACTTGCTAGTCATTTTACTGATTCTGATAAAACGTAAGCGAAATGTTCTCTATTCTAGCCCTTCCACTGGATCATCTGTGTGCTCTTCGTATTTAGCTCGAGACCTTTACAATTTATATGCTGCTTCTTACCTAGTAAAAGAGATAAAAGAGACAACAGAATACGAGTGCAATTCGTTAAAGTGTTTGAACTTTGCGAAAAATACTTAGTCGAAAACGATGATGACGACGAGGACTGTTTTAACCGAGTTATTAATGATATCGCGGGGATTCTGGGCAAGCAAAGCAATGACCCGTATGCACGGACTTTGAGCTTAAGGTTTTAAAATTTTTATTTGTTTATTCACGAAAGATTCGAGAATTTATATATTTATCTTTGCATTTATTATTCATTAGGGCGCTTGGGTATATGCATTCACTATTAGCCACAGATAGGCGATTGAATGTTCAGCATTGGTAATAGTTAAGACATTATGTATAAATGTGCTCGAATGACTTTTGTTTATTATTTTTTCTTTGCTCGATCTTCAGGATTCTCGAAAGATTTTTGTCTCCCGAAGAAGCCGAAGCAAAAGCAGCTATAAATACAGCAGATAAAATATGCGCAAAATGTACAAATTCGGAGACTTTGACAAAATTCCCAGAGTTTCTGTTTAAGAGAACACAAAAAATGGTTATGCAAGGTACATAGATAGAACTTTTTGAGGCATTTGGTTGTTTTCATTTAATCAAGTTCTCTTTAAAAAATAAAATAGACCATGTATCTTCTTCGGTCAAACTTCAACTTATAACAATATTTCGGCACATGCATGGAAACATCGAGCTAACTAAACAGGTGTGACTATTAAATAAATTCTAGTATTATCAGCACATGTTAAAATTTATTATAAACTAATTTCTCATTTTTAGTCAAACAATAGATGTCATGAGCTACTCAATAAATATGATTCAGAAGAAATGTTCGTATTAAAAATTCTACGCACCTTGACAATCCTCTCGAATCGTGCACGCATCCTGCGAGCTAGTCAGGTATAGAGATGCTCAAGATAAAAGAGTCACGATTCTTTTTATTAGTTCACTTGTCTTTGAGATTTAATAATGTCAATCTGTTTTTCTTTGCAAGATAGAGTTACTATTCAAGTATATATTAAACGATCCACGTGAAAAAATAAAATCCTGGGCTTTGACAGATCTCACGTTCTTGATTAAAGAAAATGGGCAGATTGATAATGACCTGCTGCCGAAAAATATAGCAAATCGCGATTCATTGGGGATCACGCGTATCTTGGTATGAAAATACAATCATTTTACAATTTCTGTTGGATCCTCATATTGACATGGAAATTTATTTATTTCAAAAAAACATAGGACCTATTTAACCTGTTAGAAACCACCACAGACGCGATCGCTATAAAAGTTTTGCGTCTTATTACGATTGATTTTAGACGCACATTTTCCTTTCAAAAACTCATTTCATTGGATTCGGGCGATATTTTTCACAAATTTCTTCGCGCTTTGCGTCACTGTATTTACTTGCTAGACAGCTCAAATAGTAAAGTATGTTTGGCTGTCGCCGGATTATTCACCGTCATGATTAATGAAATGTCGCGGATCAGTACAGAGAGTAGTGTGAAGATTTCTTCTGAATTTGGTAATAATCATATACAAGATCAATCTCTATCTTACTGAACTTCTATATTAATTAGTAAATTCTTTCCTAGTAAAAATATTCCAAGAACTCCCCGTAATGACTGCAAATTCTGTCTGGACCAGCATTTATCATCTTTCATCCTCAACTAATAACGACCAAGGAAGTGACTACGTGCTAAAGCAGGCATGCTAAATTTATACATATACTTAGACTTTATGAAAAAATCTTACAATTATCTTGTCTTTATTTCGAATAACAAACAGATAAAAGAATATCTGGAGCATCTATATTTGCTCTGCTTTACCCAGCAATACCTTATCGAAGAGTTACTTCGCCAGGTTCTCGGAATGCTGATAAAAGTAGATGGTACGATTCTTTGCAGGATTTACGTGTTTTCTTTCTTTTTTTTGTTCTTATACGGTTATTAAATTTAATTTTAGATGAACTCGCTTCAATTCTACAGAAATTCCTTTTAAAATTCGCAAGCCAGCACGCTCCCTATATCAAGAATCAGGCGAAAGATATTTTATCAAGACTAGAATTTGATATAATAATGCAACGTCCGAAGATCTTTGTAAGTTTATTTATTAAAGCAATTATTATTAGGATTAATTATTACTGAATTTCATCTAATTTCCTATATATAGACAAATCTGATGAAGATCACTCTCAAAGCATCTTTCGGCACTTCGATAACTGTGATTCAGAGAACCGCGCTCGTCAATAGCGTAATTGCTAATATCCGGAAATTCGGGGGATGGAACAACGAACATTATACACAGAATAAGTGGTATCTATACTTGATTGCTAAAGAAGCTGCAATAACCGGATGTTTTGAGATTATGAGTGATATTATGAACTCGTTAGCTACTCAAGTAGGCTTAAGTTTTCTTTCTTTTTCATAAGCTTCCTCCATCTATTCTTAAATTTATCTCGATAATAATAGGTAGAATCAGATTCATCGAGTCGCTTCTTAAAAGCGCTAAAAACACTAGCACAAGTTGAATTGTCTGTTTTGGAAATAACAAAAGTTGCCACAGAATTAGACACAAAGTTCGAGGAATATTTGTTAAATTTCGATTTTATCACAAAATTATATAGAGCTACGGAAGCTAGGCTAATGGTATGTGTATACTATGATGTTTATAGGGCAGCAGCTGGAATTTAGTTAGTAATTTTTCATTCTTTTTTCACGTGATAGGGTGATACGAAGATGGTGTTTCAAGAGTGGTTTTGTAGCCTTCGTATGGAATTCCTTACCTGTATACATAGCCTTTTGGGTATATTGAATGCTGCTATAAGATCACGTGGAAAAATTGAGCGCTATGGGGTATTTATCATCATCTTATTTATATGGTGTATTATCGACAGCTCAATTTTTAAAAAATAATTTTCTTAATAGATCCGCTGTGTGCAAAATGGATTCTTTAATATATCGCGCGGATATGACTTTGTTGCCCACTCGTTCCTTGATATTGACACCGAAAGCTTGGAAATACTAAAATTATATCCTTTTATTTATCTACGCAAAGATAATTTTTTTGTAACTCTATAAATACATATATCTTTAACATTCAAACATTTCAGATCGTATGTCTGGTATTAGCCTACTCCATTCAGAGTATGCTCACAACGTCAGAGACCACGTGAGATTTATATAATAATAATAATATGATATATGGGGTACTTTCTAAATTGTATATCAATATTTATAGCAACAACTATGATTGGAGTACTCTGTGGCGGGCACATCAACAATATCTAAATTCGCTTAATTCCACGACACATAATCATGCAGAAAAACCAACTTCGTTCTTACTTGCTCGATCTATTCAGTTTCTAGCGACTGTCAAGAATCCCGAGAAGGGGAAACCTGTCCCACGACAAAAACAAGGGTCACCACCAAGTAGAAAGAAATCACTGATCTCTGTAGTAAGTTGTAGAAGAACATAATGGTCTTTCGTCACTGTTAAAATTAATTATCGGACTACTGTCGAAATTTCTTAGAAAAATATCACGACTTTACGTGATTTTTTGGTTGAGATATTGAGTATTCCATTGTCTCTTCCGCCTCTTTTCTTTGTAATTCGTAAGGCTGAATGGATTAATGTGAGAAAAAACTTTGTAATGATGAAACGACTTGTTTTCCTTTTAATTTGTAAATTCGCATCATTCTTTTTTTATATTATGCAGTCAATGACCACCAAACCTTCATATGAAGCTCTCATTCAAGCATTACGTAATCGAAGACCCGAATATTTCGATTGGCGAATAAAACTCACGTTTCAGTTTGAGGGTAGTCTACAACTACCAAATGCCAAAATAGGTAAATTATCATCCCATTATTATTTATCTTTATCACAGTATCAAATAAACTATGATTTTATAATCGAAACTTTATTTGTTTAGTTCGACATCATATTAGATATATCAAAGTATTTATATTCGGGTCAGTTGAAAACTTAGATTACTATGATCGTAAAAGCGCATTAGAGCGTACATTAAAACCAAGAATGGAATTCGCGAAACGAGCGCGCACAACCCAGTATTACGATTCAAAGGCAAGAAAATCACCGATGCCTTTTGTTTATTATTTTAGCTTCTTAACCCCTTTGATTTTTATTAGGCATTGGAAGTCTGTTATCCGCTAGAAGCTGAAGTTGATGTAGAAAACGGTTCCTTCAAGTGTATATTACTTGTTAACTGGTTAGATAATCCGAATGATGGGTATTTTAATGTTCATATAGAGGCAATAGATGATAGTGAAGTAGCATGGACAATTGGGCCGGATCTGACGTTTCCTGTGTATTTTAAAAGATAAATTCGGAAATTATACACGAGGTTACTATAATAAAATATCCTGGCATTAATATACTATGTATCACGTGATAAAAACGTCCAAACCAGATCTGTGATAGTCGCATGTCATCACTATATACAGTGACTCACACATGTAACCGAACACGAAAATTAACTTACTAGCATTTTTATTTCCATGACTATTAGTTTGGACAAAATAAAAAAAAGTGTTCATTTGAAACCCTGAAACCTCTAATATTTTTTAAAAATAAT